AAAAAGCAAGTTGGAAGGAGGTCAGAAACAACTCAAACTGATCTTAAGTGACAACATTTCTCACTGAAGCTTATATGAATATAAACTGAAGCTTATATGAGAACCATTCACATCAGTCCCTGCTTTAAAGGAGCTTACAAATAAGTGTCCCAGCCAAAGTCCTACAGACTAGCACACAATGTAGGGCTAGGTTGAACAGATGCTAATTACCCTACCAATAATTTGCTTAATTCTAGGAGGAAACCATATTACTTGCGGATCCCTTGCAAATCTTTAGAGAGCGTTCCGACTTAATGCAGAAATTGTATTTTTGGGCTGTTTCATGCAAAGGATTTATGTTTTTGTCTGAAAAGACATACATTTTAACTCATTTCCTAGGTCTCAACTTCCTTTACAATGATTATATATTTCTGTTTATTTTCAACAAAAATAAAATAATCCTCCAGAGTGACCAATCAGGTTTCATCTGCTACTCTGTGGGGAAGTGACACAAGGAATCTAATTGGTCCATATGGGCAACAAATTGTTTTTTTTGTTCCCAGCTCCTGTACTCCAATATCACTGGCCTTTTACTTTAATGACTGCTCATTAGTTTATGTTTTTGTCTTTTATACACTGGGCATGTGGACAATAGAGGTTTAGGTGCAAACACGTTATAGAATAATGGCTTTTTAATGCATACCTTCACCACAATTTTTTTCTGACTTTTTTTATGTCAGGGAGCAGGAAATGCACACACGCATAAAGTGGCAATGCCTGTTGTTTGGAAGATTTCCAGCAATTTTTAATAGAACCTCATTTCAGAAAGGACACCAATTAAAGGTGATCCAAAGCCAACACTCCATTTTGGCGAGAGTAGGAAATGGTTAAGAACCTTGTTATTTTATTTTACTGTCCATGTTCTGTTGGCGATGTTTCCCTTCACCTTCCTGTCCTGAAAACACAACAGGAATTGAGAGGAAATCTCCACAAATTGAGGGGATTTTCGCTCCTAGAAAGCTGTCACCAGAATAGGTGTCACCATTAGAAGATTTACCATTGCCTCTTTTTTTTAGGGACAACTGTACAATGTTGGATTTTCCATCACTTTCTGTCTTAGAGAAAATGGTCACCAGGACATATAGGGAGGATGAATTTACCTAGCTTGGAAACAGCAATAATAACTTGACAAGGCTCTAATTTAGGCTTTAAGTTCTTTAGGTCCCACTCACAGCTCCATGAGACTCAGGTTGTGATTACCTGCGGACATGGACACAAACAGTGTGTATTCAGTATTCAGGTGTGGTTGTCTGCAGGTAATTGCAGCCTGTGTGACTACTTGTGAATGCCTGGGAACAGCTGCGGGGCTGTGGCAGCTGTCATTGGATTATACAGTGCCTCCTACCTGGAGCAGATCCCATGAGTCTCACGGAGGAATTCCTGAGGTCAATTTCACACGAGTGCCATCCGTTCTGGTCATCAGGGAAGCTGTGCACAGTTTCCCTGCTGATCAGAGCAGGATGGAACAGGTGTCACTTGCTCTAGCTTGCGATGGAGGGAAAAACTGATCTTACTGGACCCATGTTAGGTCTATTGGTGGTCAGATGTAAACGGACAACTGAGATAATCCGATTACCTCTGATCTGTCATGATCAGGTCCACCATATGGAACTCTATTTCGTTTTGTTTTCCAGACCTAGACGGAGTCGGAGGTAATCAGATGTAAACAGACACATGTCCATTTAGACCTGGCTGAACATTGATCTTCCAATCATATCCGCCTAAAAAAATGACAGGAGGACCTGATCGGATCAAACCATGTAAACGGGGCCTTACTCTATACAAAAAAAAAAAGTTTTGACTATTGATATACTTTAGCATCAGTAATTATCAACATGTACCAAAATATATCCTCTCCTGGAAACCTCTAATTATAAAATGTTGTCATAACTCTACTTTGTATTATAGTTAGGCACAGTGCTGTACACTGACTGGAATCAGACTTAGAATGATGTGTCTTGACATAAAACAGCAGGTTTTTTTCCCAGTATACTCAGCCAAATAAATAACATGCATTGTTACACTGACTGACCTGCTTTCTGCTCTCGGGCCTATGAGCTGACTGTGTAAAACCTGTCTATGCAGCATTTCTACGGAACATGCTCCTCTCTCATTACTTGGCCTACAAAGGCAACCTGATTAGAGATCTGCTGTAGCTGTAGTTCTTGTCCCCAACCCTGTTACTAGTTATTTTTTATGCAGCGCTTTTCCAAAGAGAAAACACTGAATATAATTAGTGTATTTCTGCAGCAGGATTTGTTACAAGATAAGAATTTTCAGATTAGACACACTACAGCTAAAAATGTAAAAAGCGCTTAACATAATTAAAAGCTTCTATGGGCACACATAAAGAATTGCATAACACATTTAATACAAATCATGCTGTATTCAATATGCTGGGATAAAAACATTATAGGAAAGTTGGCTTGCCACATTCCAAATGTATTGGGTTTTTTTTCTCAGAGCTCTGCTATTACATGGGTAACTCTACATAGGTAACTCTATAGCTTTGTCTGTCTATATATTTTCTGAGGTCTGTTATATTATGATGCCTTTAATTTTGGTAATGTACAAAACCATTATTGATACAATAAAGCATTGCATGTCCTCTATAATGACTGTTAATGTGTGGGTTGCATCAAACGTTGGATAGAGCCACATACCTTCAAATCATATTTGAGATGATCCAGTATGCTGGAAAATCAATCATTTTAGAGCAACATTTTTTAAAAAAACAGCAGCTAGCCAAGTCATGAAAATGTCATTCAGCAACAAAACTGAGATGCTAAAGACAGCTGTTCACTAACTCTTGATGTTGATGCAAAAGGCTTCAAAGGAGTTGTAAAGTCCCAGCATATACTATCTGGTTAAAACATCAGCATTGTACTAGCAATACATACTAGATGGCTTTTTTGATCATGCTTACTTGAAAAAAAATTATTTTATGTAGTGAGTGCTGCCTTCTGTCTGCCCATCACTTTACACAACTTCGTGAGCTTTGCATCTCTTTGCCTGCTGCTTGATGTAACGCAATCTTGATTTCTCAAGACTACATAGCTCATAATGCATTGCTTCCAGCAAGCAATGATAAAGTTACATTGTTCAGATGTTGAGTTCAGAAGACAGGCTCTTTGAGTGGTGACAGAAGAAAGTGCATGCTCACAGGGCCAAGTGAAAATTGTCAGTGCATTAAGGAAGTACATCCTATGGGCATCTTTATTAAGTAAGTTTAAACTTCTAGATCAATATGGCTTTTAGGAGAGGTTATAGAACTTATGGAAATTCAATATTAAAAAAAACAAATTTATTTTAGTGTTTGACCATAGATACTATTTAACTTGTGCTGCCAGTGCATGGTAAACTTGTATACGGGTCAGAAGGACACATTTCACTTGCACACTGGTATTGTAAGATCAACAAGATTTATTAACATTTCACCTAATCAAGCCAATCCCAGCTCCCTCTCTATCTATCTATCTATCTATCTATCTATCTATCTCTATGGCTCCCTGGTGGGGGAAATACAGCCCACTTAACATTCTACAGGTTCAGTCACCAATGTGTTTGACATTAAAGGAAATATCTAGGCTTCTGGTGTGCATCTGTGCCTTTAGGTGTGGGGAGTCACAAGCCTGTGCTTAGTTTGTGCATTTCTATATATGCCCAAAATTGGGGACTTAAATAGTTTTGAGTTAGGGACCACACTTTACAAAGGGTGCCTTGGCGCACCAGTGTTGCCTCAATATGTATTTGCAAATGTGTACAACAAAAACCTCTGTGATTAACCTGGGTCAATGAGACAATTTAGTTAGTTTGTTTTGCTGGCTAGCTTGAAAGTGTGATATTTCCATCTTTTTCAGTGATAGTAACAAGCACTAATAACACATTGTTCACATCACTGCGATGGGACATTGTAGGTGCACTAAACGGTCTGTTGTAGTAGTGCAGACCATTCATTCAAATGGGCTACTTGCCACCTCTAATTGCACTCACAGAAGTGCATGCACTTTTTTGAAAAAATCTCATTGTACTGCAACACATGGTAATAGGTTAGCATGTGTTGTCGTGCGATACAAGTCACATTGGAGTGCCACTTAAAAATAATGGCACCACCGCACACCTAACAGCGCAACATTCGCTCACATTGCACAAATGTGAATGGAGCCTTAAACATTTTCTAAGGCTGGTTTGACTTACTGGAGTCTTGTGTTCTATATAGTAGCTGTAATACAATTGTAATACAACGTGATGAATGGTAATGCTTTAGTACACAGGTGCTACACAAGGCTGTGGTATAAAAGTTAGTGAACAGTCACCAACTTTTTATCAGCAAGAACTGAGTGTTTACAGCCCCTGCAATACAATAGCTAAATTATTCTATTTGTCTCTTAGCTTTAAGTATCTTGTAGGACCTCTGATTAAATCAGTTTGAAGATTGGAATTTAGTGTGCCCGGGAAGCCATATTATGCAAAGTTGCTTAGGTCTATGCCAGAAATCTTTGTGAAATGGGTTAAAATTGATATAATTGATTAAAAATATGTGCCCATTTTAACTAATTTCCACTAACATACACTAAATAAAACAGCCTGGAGATGTTCATTTAGATTCTGGCCTCACTCCCATTCATGTTCATCTTTGCTCTTGTCTTTTCCTATTTATATTCATTTTACCCCACAGTTTTCTGCTTTCACTCCTTGTCCCATTAACACATCTCCCCTCCCCTTGCACCCTCTTTTAGTCCCCTTGTTCTCCCTAGCTCATATAAAGCGATGCGGTGTATGCATTGCAGCAGCTTCATCCATCTTATAATGCCCACTGTTGCCTTGAAAAAAGGATTAATCGCCATCCTTGGTCCCAGCTTCCTGATTGACAGCTAAATCCCTATGCCTCCTGCTTAGCATGCGTCCAGCCCGCCTCGCATGACACTGCCACTGCCTCTCTCACAGAGCCGCAGCAGCACCAGAAGCAGCTTCTAAATCTGTGGAGGGCTCAGCTCATGCACAGCCCTATCTGCAAGGAATCCAATTAAAATGCAAGAGAGACACTGAGACACACGCAGCTCTACTCTCTTCTCTTTTCTTCTAATAGAGATTTCTGCATTTTCAAGTCCCAGCAGACATCACCCCCCCCTTCTTTGCGCTCCATAAGTGGTTGGAGCAAAGACGTGAAAAAAAAAAATTAGAATTAGATTAAAGAGGGGGAACAAATTACAGTGAAGGGGGAAACAGAAACCTTGTGTCCCCCTTCTAATCTATCATGGTGGATGCATGGACAGTTTTGCAGAGCAAAGATTGACACCTCAAAATCTTCCAGCCCCCCGCCTCGACCATTACAATGTGTTGCATTGCACTATGACCTTGGATGTCCAAACTGTGGTGGTTTTTGCTGTGATCGTGGTCTTGCTGCTGGTGAACGTGATTCTTATGTTTTTCCTGGGCACTCGTTGAACGGATTTCTCCCTCCGAGCCATCGGCAGGAGCTTGCAAGAGAGCACAATACAGTACCGAGCTTGCAATGCAACTGAGCCTCATCATGGACTCACTGTGATATGTATGACGTTGCTATATTATCTCTGGCTAAATCTTTTTTTTTCTGTGTCCTATTAAACCCTTTCACTGCCTGAGGGGCCTTGCAGCACATTGCCTGGCAATGCATTGTCACCCTTTTGGTGGTGGGGGTTAATGTTTATGACCAGTGTAAAGTCTTAGTGTTCTCGATGTTCCATGCTTAGTATAGGATTAAAGAATGTTGTAAATACTTAGTCATTCTACCTTTTGACATTTACTTTTTAAATGGTAAAAGCGTTCCTTTAATCAACATGTCATCAATGATTATTTAGGCTGTTAGAATTTTGCTTTCGAGTCTCGTATGTGTAATTATTTTGTGCTGCTTCGTTAAAATATTTCCTACCAAAGCTAGATACAAAGTAGAATTATAATAGGATTGTGCTAACAGCTTTGATAATGAGTAAAGTGCAGTAAGGCGTAGCAATCAGAAAGTGCCTTTCATTAGAGTGAAGCTTGCAGAACGATGAAAATTTATTTTTGTTTGGTTACCATATATGTCTGCACTTTTCTTGTTGTATTTTGCATTATAAAATAATCTGAAATGGCTGTGAGGGTTTCACAGTGAATTGAGAGGTGACACACAATAGAGACGTAAGGGAACATGGAAAAAAGTTAAACAGAAGAGAGCAAAAGATGGGTTCTTGAATGTTAGAACAGAATAAGTATAACAGCTATAATAGTATAATATTTAAGCAATGCATTGGAAGAGAAAGAAGCAACAATTATGTCTGTAGATATTTGCACTGAATTCATAGTAAATGGAGAATGAGACTGGGTGCCTGTGATAAAGGGCTATTGTGTTTTTATCAGGCAGAGGTGATTGGATCTGGAATTGTGTTTTTATTTAGAAAAGCAGTGCAGAGCTTTATCTTAGCTCAGGACACAGCAGGGCTTCGCAGGGTCTGTGACTCGAATCCGAAATGCAAGCCTTATCAGCACCCCCGCCAACTCTTTGCTCTGCCTTTTGTATCGTATGAGGTGGTGCCTAAAGTATCTAGTTTTAATGGCCTTTTAAAAAGGATTGACTTTGTACTGGGGTATGCTATGAATGTATAAACATTGTTTGAGCTGCCAGTGCCAACTGCAGTTCCTTGTTTTATGTGTCTCCTTGTAGCCATTGACAAGACCATAAAAGATTGTCTTAAACAGCATTTCTTTTCCTTGTGCAAGTGCTCTAGCTGTGTTAAATATATAAATCATCATATGACAGCAAAAAACATTTGACTTACTTAACATTGTGCTTATAAAGTTAGCATAAGGGCCAAGAGTTGGCTGTATGCATGCTTTATAGAATCAGCTTAATTGAAGTTTTGGTATAAACAGAAAGCCAAAGGTTGCATATTTGGTTATTATAATAAGACTTGATATATTTGTCATTGACATGTACCCATATGTTTTTCATTGTTTGCCTTTAAGATTTAGGCTCATATACTTTGGCACCTATGAATTTCATATATCATGTGCATAGCAAGTCTTTGTCAGTGATATATGCTTTATACTGTACATGAAAGATAATGAGGGTAATTTCTAGACTCCTGGGGGTCAGGGTTTAGACCTCAAAAAAAGTACAATAATACATTATGATAAAAGTCTTTTACCCAACATCTGAAGCCAGGTATGGACAACAAGCTCCATATTAACATATTTGCCACCATTCTCTTTTGCGATATCAAGGCAAAACATAATTAACGTATTTTTTGCAAACTATGCTAAGATCTAGGAAACTGTGTGCCCATTTTGAGTTAGGCCACATTCTGATTTTCCACCAAAGGTCAAGAGAGACTGGGGGAAATCTGGACTCTTAGTAAGTCTGCAATAAATCACAAATAATTTGGGTGAGAAGGTTTTAAGCATGCGTTGAATGTTGTGGTTATCTTCATTTTAATGTACAGTTCAGAGTAATCCATACTATGTAGGGATAGGGATATTATGTTTTATTCATAAATGAACCCTTGTTCTTGTGCAGGAAATTTACTATGGGGCCCCAGCTTTTTCATTGGTCATTTTTGCTATCTTGCTAGATATTGGTCATCCATTTGGATACAGTAGCACAAAGATCCTAATAATGGCCCAGTTTATGGCTGAACTCCAGGCAAACAACTACATAGACAGATGAAACTGTGTTTTACAACTGATTTGCTCCCTGTGCCAATATTTCTTCTTTCAGTCTCAGCTCTGTTGTACAGGCCATTGCAAGAGGCTAATACCAAATTACATTGTTTGCATCAAAATACATTTAATTATGCATTAATGGATACAGAGCTGTTTTCATTAGTGTCTTTTACATATACTTGGAGTTCAGCTTTAGGTGGAGGAGGGGGTGAGAGGAGTCTAACTCTGGTAAGCATATAAGGGGTAAGGGTTTTCTAATGGTTTCAGTGTAGTTCAAGCACATTACATTAGTAAATAAATGCAGCAACTGCTAAGCACTACTGAAATCTGATTATTTGGCTTAAATATATGTAAAAACAAGTTGGAAGAGGATGTTTTGAAAACCAAACCACTCTATGCTATTTTTTATGGCTCACGGCACTAAGATTCACTCTTGCAAAGCTTGCTTTACTCTTACTTGGTTTATATTGATTTCCCTGAAAATGAAGTACCAAATTAAATATGATAAGCTTTATAAAAGCGTCAGAAGCGAATAGTAACATTCTCACATGTGGTGGCTGTGTTAGGTTGTAGTTTATAAAGCAAATTGATAAAGATTCTGCCCACAAGCTGCGGATTTAGTTTGCTTTAGGTTTTTTTTTTTAACTCCCCAACAAGGATAGCAGCCATTGCGGATTCAGCCAGGCCTTGGGTTTTGTTAGCTGACTGTAGCCATGGTAATAAGTTGCCAGCTACCTGATCTGAAAAGTGTTCAGCAGAATTATAATCAACTGCATCTTGACTCTTGTTACCTGATGTTCTCTGTGAGTCAGATTGCGGCAGGCAAGTATTCAATATTTTAACTGCTTTGAAACCACGGGGATACTTTGAAAACCATATGGCTGTGTGATTCAAAGAGGTCATAGAGCTGATGATTGCCGACAGCTTAAATATAGTAAGGATAATGCAGACATTTTAACATATATTAGACTGAATGCAAACTGTCTGTGTGTTTTTATATGAGCTGGAACACCATGCAGTAGCATCAATGCAGATATTTAGCTTCATCCATGTTTTTTTTTCTAATATGTTTTTACTGCATAATAAAATTAACTAGCTTGGAATCATATGCTAAGCTTAACAATTTTAATGGCTCACACAGAAAACAAGACATAAATAGGTCACCCCTATTTTCCCCCCAAGCATGTGATGCGTGAGTTGCTTCAAAGGTAAATTTGCCTGGACTTATTCTCTTATCTAGTGATGAGAATAACTAAGAACATTCTTTAGATCTCCATGTATCTTTGATTATGGTGACATTGTTTTCAATGCATTCCAGAGCAGTTTGTTTAAAAATGGAGGCAAAGGACAACTAAAAGTGTTGCCCATTGCTGCAGTCTGATTTCACCTATCAGATAAGGAAAATAAAGCAAGAACCGCATTTAAGTAAAATACGTTTATAGTCCAGATGCGGAAGCGAAACTACTTGTTTTAGTTGCAGTTGGGAATCTTGAGTATCATTCATAAATAACAGGATCATAATTTCTAGGTGTCCCAGTTTATAATGATAACCTTGCCTGGAAAGTCTCCATAGGGCTGGTTTAAACAGACTGCATCATCAGCAGATGACGGTGGCTTTGGTTATATAATCATATTAGGTGAGTGCTGCATGCAAATTTCAAGGTTTCCTGTAAAAATTGAGCTTGGCCCCACCTTACTCACACCTCTTGAGCATTCCTATTGGTCAGTAAGGCTGCCCATCACACTAAGAAACCAATAGGGAGGCTTGAGAGGTGTGAAAGGGCAAGGGTCAAATTAGACTACTAGCACTAAAAGTTGACATTTGCATATAAATTAAAATGCCCTTACCTCTGGATTTACTGATCATTTCGGCATTCAGTTTTGCCATAGGTAATCTCTGGCTATGTATTTTCATTTTATGTTCAGTTTTAATTTCACAGGTTTGTGACAGGATTACTTTAAATTGGAAATAAAATAGCTGTTGGTACTGCAGTGAAGTAATTCATTGTGATTCTCATCACACTACAGTCAGTCACTATCCACGCTTTTCTTGTCCAAGGCTTTAGGTAATGTATTATTATGCTGAGCTGTAGACATTCTTCTATACCTGCAGCTTTCTTCAAAGCTCCTTATGTTTTGAAAGTGATGACTATGTACGGTAACTTTCGTCACCAACTTTGACCTTATTTCCAGAGACAGTCCCAGTTATCCCAACACTTGTCATTGGATTTTATTTTTTGTCATAACCATAAGAGGTCAGATCTTGAAAGTCTTTGGCAGTGTGCTCTGTTACATTGCTTAAAGTGGAGCTCTAGAAACAATCTTTCTATTGCTTTCCATGTCAGCAATGGGGAGGTGTCACCTTCTGTCTTTTAAGCTGCCAAGGCATTAACCTATAACAAAAATGGCCCCATTTATAGGGCAAAAACAGCTCTTAAGGGCATTTGATACTACTGCTTCTATTCATCAAAATCTGAAATATTCATATTTACAAATCTATTATACTGTCCCCAAAAGGCATTCATATGCTATAAGAAATATGGGATAACAGAAGGTGGGATGCATGCCTTCATTAGTGCACATTGATTGGCTCAAAGAAGGCATATATTTTTGTCAAGCAGCTGTTTTTCTAGCAGTGTACAATTTGTTATAGTTATTGTAGCTGCACATAAAGCTTTGCATCTGCTATGAAAAAAAAAACGGTATTTACTTCTGCTATAGGAATTCTGTGCAGGTTAACACACCGGGAGCATCTTTCCATCACCTAACTTCACATCCCTCAGGACCTGTACAGTATATTATGACAGAACCGAGCCGGTCCATTGTTAGGCCTTTCTGTCTGAAAACCAGGCTTCCCTTTATTAAAAGCAG